TCTATCTTGTAAATTATAACTGCAATATAAATAACAAGGTGTTGAAAATATACGAAAAAAATATTAGTATATTTAATATGAAATATTGAACAATTTAAAAACAAATTTATAAAAATTACACAGGACTTGCCAGTTTCCTAGATGCAAAGTGTAGTGTTGGCAACTTTCATTATGTTGAAAAGAAAACGACACACACACTTCATCTTGTCCCTCTTCTTGTCATATATTCAAGGTAAAAAGGGTCTTAAACTGTTAAACATGAGGATGTAGATATTCATAAGATGAATTTCTAGAAACCTTTAATATAACAAGTGTAAGGATGCATATAGAACAGTTATTTGCTAGATTGAAGACGTTTGGCATACATAATACATTAACTATCGATTACTTCCCAGGTACTTACATTGATAAAATAGTTCTTAATATGTGCTGTACTTTGACAAACCTGCAAACACCTATTATAAAGCAATAATTTATTTAAAATAATTTCATATTTTATACATTTAATTGTAACCCAGTGCACATTTAGATTTTAGATTATAAATAAGTTACTTACATAATATCTCATTAAATCTTTTAAAACATTTTAGTCCTACTTACATATTTTAGAATGATTAATATTATAATTTATAACTTATATGTTATATTATTTATTGACACATATCAATTTGTGTTATATTTTATAGTTAGGTCCTAAGGTACAACAAACTCATTTATAATTTAAATAAATGCTTAATTTTTATTATATATTGATAATGTTGTAGGTATGTTGTAAGTCTTAATTATTTGAAATGCAAACTAATAAATAAATTTAATAATAAAACTGTTAAAAATTGTGCATTCTTTGTAATGAACAGTAACACTGGTTTAATATTGTTGTAAATAAAAAAATGCATTAGTTTAACTCTGTAGAGAACATTAATATCTGGCACTGTGCGTAGTATATATAACTTTTTTTAAGACTGATTTTTCTGTCAATAATTTTTAAATAGCTTAAATTAGGTACATTAGTAATAGGATTATTAATAATGTCTCTATTTTTTCATTAAATTAGGCATTTAATGTATAAAACTTTTTGGGGTAGCTTATACTATCATTAACTATTACTATACTATCTGGTGTAGCATAAATCCAAGACTATTTCACATTTTAGTACCATTAAGTTAACCATCTTGAAATAGACTTGAAAAAGCTTCATTTTCAGTTTATAGTCCATAGGTTACATTTACAGAAACTTTTCCTCTTAATGGTTTGTTATTATGTAAACTTTTTGATAGCTTTACGCCTTTACATCTGACAAGGTTTTTGAAGTTTTAATTTCATAAGTTTTATTACTGGCTAAAATACTGGCAAAACAATGAATTAAAAAAATATAAAGGATTGATGAATAATTTTGTATTCAATTCAGGTAACTGAGGTACCTGATTCATATTTGGGTCCTTTCATTTTAGAACAATAGAGAGAATATACAGCCAATATCATATTAATGATATGTATTCTTAATTTATATTATACTAGCATAGAAGCATACATTAAAGATTAATACATCATAATATCTAAGCGTGGTATAATAGATATGAGAACAGTGAGTGAATGTATAATTTCATAATTTACCTATTAAATTATGGAATTTAAATGTTGTGTTTTTTAGTTTGTTTAATATATCAATACGACAAAACGTATCAAATAAATAGATAAGTGTAAAGTCGAGAAATTTTTTTTTAAGGGGCCTCCATTGGTAGTTGCACCCCGGCCCCCTGAGACTTAGATCCGGCACTGACTATAGGAATACTGATTAATTTTTTTAATTAATTGTAAATCATAGATTTCTAAATACAATATTTTTTTTGTATATTAATGAATTCAGTTTTGCAACTTTAACCATGCAATTTTTGTAATTTTTGATTTTTGGATCATTTATTTTAAATTATAAGGAAGTTCCAATTACTTATTTTTGATATCTTATTCATATTTCATGCAAATAAAACAACATTAAGTGTATTAATTTCACAGCTAATAATACTTATAACACTAATTTGTTATTTTAAATATATTTGTGAGTCTTGAGAAAACATGGATAAAAACACCTTCTAATGAAAAGACAAATTAAAGTTCAAAGGTCCCACTGCCGATTAATCTGAAAAATGTGAAAAATGTTTTGACGCTTGAATTATTTACAGTTAATATTTCTGACAGTGATTTCAAATGTTTATATTATAATATTTTCCAGTTTTTTAATGTAAATAAATTGGTTAAATGAATATATCATAAATCATCAAATCTGTACATAATTAAGGACTATAATTGTTACATTTGTAAAGAACCATATTAATTACTTAGTTATTCTTATAATCATCTACATCAGTGGTTCTCAACCTTTTGAGGTCCACGCCCCCCTCAAACTATTATCTGAGTTCACGCCCCACCGCCAAGATTGATGACTAGGCTCAAAATCGTCTGGAACGGTCCGGACGTATCCAAATACATTAAAAAAAAATCGGTTATAAGACTCAACACTTCGGTTATAAGACTCAAATTTCGTAAAATAAATAGTAGAAAATAAACTTTTTTGGTTATAATTTAGAAATAAATTGGTATTGAAAAATTAAATAATATTTGTGTTGATTATTTCTAGTTTCTGGTGGTACTTTATAACGTATAATAAAATAATAAAAATATTATAATATGTATATACATCCTTTATAATTTTTTATTAATGTATAATTTTTATAATATTTTTATATGTACCTAATATTTACGCCTATTATAATTTTAGTTTTTTTTATTATTATTATTAAATTTATTCAATAATAAAGTATGTAATATGTGTTAGAGTATTAAAACCAAAGCAAAATATGTAGTAAAATAAAATTTATAAATACGTAATTAATTTTTTTTTTTCACTTCGCCTATAAGATTCATTCGGTTATAAGACTCACTTTGTGCTGGTCCCAAAGTGAGTCTTATAAGCGGCGTCTACTGTATATACGTCATAAGTCATCACATACTTTAATTTTGGTTATTGGATTAATATGTATATAACTTATAATTTACAATTACACATAATTAATAGATTTTTGGCACGGCGTAGAAAACGGCCAATTTTTTATTTTTTTTTTTTTCAACATGTATTCACGCCCCCCCCTGAAATGTTGTCACGCCTCCCTAGGGGGGCGTGCCCCCCAGGTTGAGAATCCCTGATCTACATAGATATCAAGGATGGGCCACTCAATGTTACTAGAGGGCCAATTTTAAATGTGCTAAAATCTAGGGGGGCATAGAACATGGAGAGTGAAAAAAAAAACCTAATGTTAACTATACCTCTATAAATAATATAATATTATTTACATTTAATAGTTAAATACTGGATAAGAATTTATATCTACGTTTTACGATAAACATTTTTGCAATTTTAATAATTTTATAAATATAATATAATAAACTGCAGAAAAATCTTAAAATTTTCTATTTTTATAAATGCAGGCCGCCAGTTACCCATCCCATATATATATCCGAGGTGGTGCTCAAACAGAAATTTTAAAATTTAAGATGGATATTTAGTAGAAATTAGTAGAGACGTGAGTGCTGTAAATTTACCACGTAAATTTTTACCGATAAAAAAATTTACCAATTTTTTTTTTTACCGGTAAATTATTTTTATCCAAAAAAAATGTTGTATGGCCAAATGAAATGAAAAAAAAGCATTGTCTAAATACTCTAAATTGTAAAGAGATATCTTTTTAATCAACTGGTACTGTGATATTATCATTTGTAATATTGATATACTTGTTATTGCTTATATAGTTTGTTATAGACTATAGTATCAATATTCTGCCTCCCCTACTATATATTAGAACATTAAATATCAGTAGGTAATTAGGAAACATTTTATAGGCAGATCGCAGATACCAAGAAGGCAGATAATGTGATATTCATAATATACTATTATTAATACAAAAGTTAAGTCTAAATACAAATGGTTTGGCTTAAAAAAAAAGTAAATGTTATATGAATTTTGATAGTTTAGTTTAATTAAAATTATTTGTTAATTGTAAAATGAATAATTAAATATTCATATTTCATAAAATGTACTAATTACTATAATTCCTAATACAGAACAATATACTCTATTCAGAATAAGAAACACAGTCGGCGGTGACTAGTTTTCGTCAGCGGCAGTCAGGCGGCAATGCCTATTGTTACCCCAACTTATTCAAACGCGTAAGGCGTTGTCACGGAACAAAGCCACGCCCATGTGCAGAACTCAGCTGCCGACTGTGTTTCTTATTCTGAATAGAGTATAGATATTAAAGAAAAATTTTTAAAATGTATGTTAATTATTCCTATTATTAAAAAGATCTATATTTAACAAGTAGGTATACAGCATTAGTACCTAATACAAATCGTATTTACTAATGTCTAATAGTAAAAAATAACAATAGCTCTAAGATTTAGCTATTTTACTATTTTTACCACATTATTGGTAAATTTACCGATATTTTTTTTTATCCAAATTCTCCATCTCTAGAAATTAGTATTTATTATTTTATTGGTTGCCATTGGTTATCGGGTAGATCAAGTACAAGCATGCATCAAATTGAATTTTCGCAAATTGCCTACAAAGGTGGCTAAGATGCTCATCGGTGTGTCTTCAGATAGATTGCCTACTTGATATGCTGTAGCACCACATTGTCCTAAATCCGACATAGTTGGATTGCCTACAAGGGTGTCTAACTTGCGCTTACTGTAACAAGTTACACCCAAAAGGAGTTGAACAATCACAATTTTTTTAATAGTTGTCATTTTTTACAGGCAACAAAGTATGCAGGATCAGCTAGTATTTTATAATTATGCCATAACTAAATTATTTAGCAAATTATATTTATAATTGTAAAAAAAGTATAGTAAATCACATTGTAATTGTTTGAAATAACTATAATCAATAATATATTATAAGTATTTATAAATTAAATATAAATAAAAACTAACCAGTAGTATTTTTAATTAAAAGTTATTCCATGACTCTTGAGTTTATCTGATAATAATGTTTTAAAGTCACGTTCAGTTCCCAGCTCTTTAACAGTAAACTGTAAATTAATCAAAACAAACAATTATTTTCATTAAACCAAATGGCAAAAGTTATTTACAAAATTATAATAATAGTTTGATTATTGATATCAAAATACCTAGAGGGATATAATAATATTAATTAGGAATTTTGCATTTAAAAATGTGTATATTTTTTGAATAATCCAATTTATTTCTATGACAGTTATCTTGTAAAATAAATTGCTAAAGCAATATCAAGTATTAAATTATTTTCTCAAGACTAAAAATACTATTTGAATAAACAATTATATTGATGTATGGATGAAATTTTACAAAACGTTAAGCAATTTCAAATTGTTATTATTGCATATTGCATATTTTACAACAAATTGTTACTTTTTACATATTATATTAATTTCCATTATAATACATGTTGGTCCTTGGGAGACGTTTATGTCGATATAATTATAATATTGGCCATTAAACAGAAAAAATAAAACCAGGAACACAAAAGAGTATACATTTTCAAAACCTACTGAAATAAAACACAATATTAATAAATAGGAGTAATTTGTATTTTAATTTTGAGGCCAGATTTAGTTATTTATAAATGGTTCTATCAAAAAGAAACTATTCAGACTTAAATTCAATATTGGATACTTAAGTACTGTCATCAATATTATTTTTACCATTAATGCTCTCAGTATAACTATAGTTTAAAATTAATTACTATAAACTTTTTTCTGTAAAATAGTGAACAATTAGAGAACAATTGTAAATGAAAATGTATAAAATGAATGTACTGCCACACTATTATTATTTGTACTGTTCAATCAACAAAGTACATAATCGCATCAAAAATGTTTATTACAATTTACAACATAACAGAAGTATTTAATTGTTATTAAAATAATTATTTAATTTCTGTCTCAAACACTATATTATTTAATATACGAAACAGTTTCAAAGAACTTAAGGTATAAATCTAGTTAAGCGCCAACTCAACATTTTTCAATTCTTTTTTGGAAATGTATTACAACCAGTTGAGAACAATAGTGCAAAAATTAATTACCGGAAATCTTTAATTATTAGCATTATTAAATTCATGATTTTCAGCGGTTTATGCTTAGGAGCAACGCAATAGCTGACCGTAATTAAATAAAATTTTCAATTATTTTTTCTGAACAATTCTTTGTTGGTTTTAAAAAAATTATTTTACATATCTCACAAATTATAAAAATATTTTTTACGAACTTATTAACATCAGCTGAACAAATTATATAAAACACTCTTTTTATACTTTTTATAATTATTTTTTTCTTATTACTTATTTGAACTGGTATTAAAACTTGAAAAAAGCAATTTAGAGACTTAAACTTAAAAATGTGACAATGTAGAAACTATGTTCAAAAAAGTGACTAGTACCTAAAAAGAAACTAAATGGGAGCACTAATAAACAAAATATTTATAAAATAAATAAATAATTATTATTATTATTAATAAACAATGTACCATAATACTATAGAATTATTTTAACACAAACTCTTACCAAAATTGGCTCATAGCCAAGTTTCTTTAGTTGCCTGATTTTACAAGATGTTAAACCATTGTATTCATTGCTATAATAAAGTACTGAATTTCTTACAAGTGCCATTACTGCAAACCATTTTCCTAATTCTGGTGGTTTCTGGAAATCACTGAATACAGTTCTATTTTTCATTTTTTCAGGAATAGCCACTGGTTTACCAATAGTATTGATGCAAAATAATATATCTAATAAAAATAATTGAAAATTAATTATATAACAACAATTAAATTAGAAACTAAATATACACACAAAATTACCAGATTTTGGATGATGAGGAAGAGGGTAACATACATGTAAACAGGACGATTCATTTTTAAATAGGCTTAGAAGTTCCATGTAAAGTTTAATAAAGTTTCTGTCATTTGCACCTAATTTAGCCAAAGTACTTGAAGTAGGTATATGCCATGCTAAATGCTAAAATACAAAACACAATAAGATTAAAATGAAAACATCCCTTAAATCTCAAAAAGTTACACTAGAATTTATTTTTGTAAATAATAATATTGAAAACATTTAGGCCTGTGTTTAATATTAATTGGAGTAGGAAAAAAACTATAATAAACTGGTTTATCATCGGTTTATTATAGTTTTTTATGGAACTATAGATTAATTCTATAACTTGGAATTGATAAATATCAATAAAAGTACATTAATTGTATTTATAAATACCAAAGGTGTAAGTTTATGTATTTTTGAAGTTATAACAAGTAAAATTTGACTATAAAAAAAAAAACAGTTAATAAAATTCATCATAGTACATATTAATAAATAAATACTTATTAATAATAATAATAATTTTCCCTGATTCATTTATCTGAAACTTATTTTTATTAATGATTAAATAAATTGAAATACTTTAAATTAAATTGACCTATATATAGGTATTAACAATTTGAATTAGTGTGTATTTAATATTTATTAATGAAATTTACAAATTTTAAATTATATTATATAATTTGTATACATTTCTTCTGTATATATGTATATTTTTTTATTAAATATAACATTATATAACAGGAATTCCAGCAAGAATAGGCTCAAGAACCACAAAGAATGAACCATTTTATTCAAGAGCTAAAAAAAAAGATTTGTCGATTGTCCAGTGCTCAAAGAATATACGTGACACATAGTTGACTAATAATTATTATAGATTAGATATAAAATGATACTTTTTTTATAAATTGTTTAACATAATAATTTAGATTAAAATAAAGATTTTTTAAATTGTTCCCATTCTTACAGGAATAAGACATGATATGTTTCCAAAGAGGTAACATATAATAAAAATCTTTATAAACAAAATAACGTACAAAACGTAAAATTAGATCTTATCTGTGGTAAAATCATTATTACAAATTAATGCTGCCCAGGAGGATACCATGGGATTATGTAACTCAGCACTCAAAGGGTTAATTAAACCATTCTTTTTTTATTTAATAATACTATTGTATGAAAGTAATGTTTAACAATTTTCTACAATTTTGATTTGTTGAAATTACTATATAAGAGTAAGATTTTTAAATATTTTCAGTGCTCAAACAAAAATAAAACTATTTGGTAATTTACTTTTAAAACTATCTTGAATTTACAAAAAATACTGTAGAGAAAGAGTACCCATTTATAGTTATAATATAATAAGTAACTATGTGTTACATAATATAAAAGTATGTACTTGAATATATTCACATCATTAGGTATTTTTTTTTTAAATAAAAATGTCTATTTCATTAAACCTATATTACAAATTGTTTAAATAAATAAATTACACATTTAAAATTGTAAGAAACATATAGGGTAGCTTACCTCATTGCAAGATTCTTTTAATGTATCTGGTAATAATGAACCAGAATAGTCCGGGCATTCTATTAGCACACTATTGTTTAAACTTACAATATCACGTGATATATTAAATCTGGATAATTTTTTTCCTAAAAATGTTACATATATTATTTAATATATTTTTTTAAAGGTAAGTAACTAAATAACTATGTTAGAAATCTTTAAATGATAAAATAATATCATTACTCAATTTATATTGAATTAATCAAATCTTAACACCATAAAACATATTATAATTTACATATATTTATGAACTATTGCTATCAATCAGTAGTTTTATTTGATTAGTTCTTAAATGTTTTGTTAAGAAATATTTAATTTTAATTGATATAAGAGTACCTTTACTTATTATCTACACGATCAATAACATAAAAAAGTGATACAATGCAATAACAAATAATAGCTATTCAGAAATAGTTAGGTAATAAAAAAGTAAGAAAAATAAAGAATTTAAAATATTATATAGGTAGTATATTATGGGAATAATAATTTAAAAAAAATAAAATGAAATCACTATCACTTATTTTGTTATTATATTTAACACAAGATATAATTAATTATATATCGCAAGATTTAAGATACCCGGCGCTAATGTTATTTTTTCCTCAAAAATACACTCTATCCTATCCTGTAGAATCAACCAGATTTTATAATTTTTTTTAAACTAATAAATGGGTAATACTTTACAGGCCTCACAGAACTCCATTTTTCAATATTTCCAGCTCAAACTTTATAATATGTCTACTGCTTTTTTTAGAAATTATTTTATACCATTAATTGAAATAAAACAGAAAAACGGAGATTAATGTGGCTTGTAGGAAGTCTCCTTTCAGATAAAATTTATTTATACAAATCCGACAAGTCCAATAATTTTTCCTGTGCAGTTAATTTTGTTCATATAATACAATGTTCTCAACCTTCTTGTTAAATACTTTGTTGAGTATCTACCGAATATCTGCGATTCATTGTTTTTTTTGTGAAGTGGAGAAAATACCAAGTAGTAAAATGACTTTCACCCTTATATTTTTTTTCTAATTGTTATTTATTAAAATTCCAAAATAATTTAAATTAAGTTAATTAGATAGATTATTGAAACAATTAATTATTTACATTATACACTGACCATAACAGAGTGTATCTGAAGTATTTACCATTTTTAATAACAATCTAAAACTTATTGTCAATAACTCAATTACACACTATAAAGGGTGTAACAGGAAGACCTGACTAACTTTTTTTCTAATCAATATTAACATTTTTTCTTTATATAAATAATTTACTTGCTATAAACGTATATTATTAAAAAAAATATTTTTATTTTTTAACACTGAAATTCTGAAAATAAAAAAATTTAAATTTGATTAAAATTTTTTTGGAAATATTGATTGTAAAAGTTTAGAATTATTTTAAATATCAAAATTTTTTTGAGAAAATTAGCCTAGAACATAATAACATTTTCAAAATATTATTTTTGGGAATTTTCGGACAGTCAATCTTAAATTATTTATAAACCATATAATTTTCACAATTTTTTTAATACGTTCAAGTAGTATAATTTTTTTTTTTTTGTAAGGTCTTCCTGTTACAACGTGTATATGTATGTGTTTATACTTTTATTTTTTTGTAACTTACCAAAACATTTATGAAGTGTTTCAATGTTTAAAGCTTTTGAAATACAATCTTTAGGAAAAATATTATTCACAGCTAAGTATGACAAAGTGTAAATATAACATCTAGTGTGTTCTTCAAATTCAATATTTCTTGTATCACTCTGAAGTTCGTTAACAACCATTTTGAATATACATGGTGTTGTTCGTGGATTATAATTAAACATAGTTAAAGCCAATGTTATTCTTTCTAAATCCTAAAAATAAAAAAAATGTAATTGAATTTATGTATACAAATTAAATCTGTAAAAAAAAAAGTTATCACCTTAATTCTTGCTAGAGATATTTCATCAACTATGCGCTGTGAAATTTTTTTCAAAAGATCTTCATGTTTAATTAATAAATTTGTACCCAATAGAGCCATATGAACACAGCATACTAATTTTACTTCATCAACTTTATTTATTAAGGCATCCATTAATTTGTACATATAATCAGCATGTTGGTGCTTTGAGCAATATCTAAATATCTAAATTTAAATTAATAAGCGAGACTTGATTTTTATAACAATAGGGATGTGAATTTGTGGATTATGCAAATTTATAGATTTCATTCTGAATTCAAAATAAGTGAGATACAAATTAGATTCAAGACATTACCAATCTAAATTAAAAAATATTTCCCTTTAAACTGTATTTTTTTATTACTTATATTATAGCATATTTGGAAACAATTTATGGATTTTTAGTTTAGTTCTTTGTATAATATACGAACATAAAAATATTATAAATACTAAATGATATAAATATTTTTTGTATAATTTTAAAACTTAAGTAATATTATTTAACGGTAACTTTCAAGACTTAAAAAAAAATTACTATTTTGATAATATTGTGAATTTATTTTATCAACTATATTTTGTATATTCTTGAATATTTTATAATTTTTAGTGCATATTATAAGTGATGGGTTGAACACTGATTTTTTATATCAAACCAAATTTTGAATTATTTTTTCAAACCCGAACCGAACCTAGAATTATTTTAAGTCAAACTCAACTCAACATTTTTTATTATATTCAAATTAAAACAACCATACATCATAATTACAATTATATTTTGAGTTTTTGTATTACTTACTATAGAAACATAAAACATATTGTAAACAGGTTTTTAATTTTTTATCAACAACACAGCAGGATTATTACCATGGGTTTACCCAAAATAGACTTTTCCCGTTACAATATGATAGAAACAAAAATGGCAATTAATGTAGAAACGCAGCCTCTAATAGTCTAATTAGTAATTACTTTTAAATAATAAATAGTCATTACTCATTATATATTTTTTTAAATAACTTTTGAAGAATTTTATTAGGGCCAGAAAGTCTGATTCAACAAATATTTGAAGTTTGATTTTTGAACAGTAAACTATCGCTTGATAGTTTGGTTCGAATTTATTTCATCCAAAGTTCAAATTTCAAACCGAATCAAAAGTATTCTCTCACTGGATAGATTATAGGATTTATATTTAAATAATTTTTAAGTACCTTTAAAAATGCAGCCAACTCTATGCTGTTAATGTTTACAATTTCTTTGATTACAGAAATGTATAGATTTTTTACAAGCTCCTGATTACGTATAGGTGTTTGAGTTTTAAAGAATCCCAAAGACACTATGCCCAATTCTTTAATACTAAAGTCATTGTAATAAGAACATATTTCTTGTTCAATATCATACATTGGTAATGTTGGTAAGAACTTTCTACTTGTGTTAGCATAAAACATCATCTGAACTAACTGCTTGGGAGTCAATCTGAAATAAATAAAATTTATTATTTTTATATTAATATTTAAAATATATTATAAATAACTTAAAATAATATAATTGTTATAATACATTGTTTTATTCCCAAAAGTGTAGTCTACATGTAAGCACTGCTTACACTTGAAAAAAGAAAAAAAGAGTGTTTTGAATAAAATCAAGTCAAATATGAAATAATTTATTTAATAAAAGTTATCAGTTATTAGGATGTGTAACATGTTTGATGGCTGCTTACATGGTAGGGTATACATGGTAGGCCTCTATGCTACCACCCAACACCATAGCTCATAGTCAATGAAACACAATAATTGTCAGTAATTTATATTTTTATAACATTATTTATACTCTACACAATATATACGAGGGGGTACATATTATTCAACACTTTGAAAGCATTTTTCATAATGCATACGCTACAATGTTAAATTTATTTTGTTATAGAACCATCGAATGGTAGTGTGTCGTGCGTCTGCATTATAGCTATACAATAATATTAAGAACCTATTATAAAAAATGGGCTCTTCAGGTAATAAATATTGTGATTGTATAATCGAAAAATAACTACTAAAACCGTCTGGATGAAATAAAATGATGATGTAATTGACTATTTCACTAAAAAACAAGAAGAATCTATTTGATTATTAATAAAATGTTTTTTATTAAAAATGTCTTAAAAAAAAAAAAATTTGAAAAATTTGAAATGTATAACTAATTTAACTTGTGCGTATTGGTAGTGGTTGAGTTAGTTAATATGTACCACTGCTTGCACTCGCTCACAACCCACACCACGCCACTGCTTCCTGCCAATAACTAACCTTTCAATATTCACATATTTATAAAAGTTACATGCAATCTGTGATTGGATTCTCATGCACTTAATAAAATTTAAACATGAACATAAAAAACTTTAAGGAATGAAAAATATTAAAAATGATGTGCAAATTACAACTATGGATTTTGAGTAGTTTTAGTTATGTTTATGAAAACATGGTTTATGTAATGATGAAATCTAATCATACATAATAAAACAAATAAATTCTTTTATATTTAATTATATAATCTATTTACATTTATAGCTATATAATGATATGTTTTAATATTTTAGAAATAGTGACTATTACACAATTTTAAGGCAGTAGAAACATTCAGTTTATTAAAATAAGTTCACAAAAGTATGTCAAAATACTAAATTATACTTTTAACAAATGTTATGATTGTTATGTTCTCGGTTTTTTTTATGAATGAATATAAGTATATTTAATATCAATTATAATAGATTAAATACAAATATTTATGTACCTAATATATGTAGATGAATTATTATTTATATCTAAGGTTCTTTCAACATTATCCTCAGGCTTGGTCAATGTCTGTTTGTAATATTATGTATTATCATAAGACATAAATGTACCGCTATAATACACATATCAAATATTAACTAATGAAGAACATTTAATTTGAAAGTACTAAATCGATTATCAATATATTTACCTTGATGGCTTCCGTGCCAGCTTCCTGACACCCATCCACACAAAATTGCTTAATCTAGAAAGCTTCATCAAGTACCAGTGGTCCATGAATAGTAAAAGTTTGTTTAGAGTCCAACGCCTATGCCTTTCAATGCACTGTCGGTCAAATTCAGACCACAGACGATGGTAAGCGGGATCCTTGGCATCTTTGGTGTCCCACAGTGGTATAAGAGCAAGCACGGACAGCAACTGCTCGTCAGTCATCTGTGGCAGGACGGCAACCAGGCGGTCCCGGAGACCATCATACACCGAATCAGCAAGCCGGTAGTCTCTGCCACCAGCGTATGAGCTGATTGCTGTAAAATCACTGCACAACTCGTCAGCCGTCCTAATACTAAAGTCCTGGCCGATGAGCCCGTGAAACTGCTGAGGAGTAATCACTGTTGGCCAGTTGACAGCGAGCGCGGCCGGATTGACGACTGTAGCACGATACCCAGGATCGTTGACCATTACGTTATGAGCGTTGTGGTTTTCCACGTTCATGTGAGTGCGAAGTTCTGGAGAAAAGGAAGACGCGAACGCAGGCCAGACCTGAGCGAATGCATTCTGCCGTCCGTGATTATTTGTGAACGCTCGTCCAACGAAAGCCAGACGGCTCAGTGTCCTATTCATGGTGTAACGCGATTGCGATTGACGTCGATCAGATTTCAAAATTACAACGTATAACTTCGATTACCTAACCTTGTCCATCATCTCTATTTGGTAGAAATCCGTAACAGTGAATTCGGAAAAAACAGATAGCGAATTGGCAAATATTATCAGATAACAACAAGAAATTATTTTATTATTTATTATCATAAAATAACAAACGAAAACGCTAGTCATTGATAAGAACAATAACGATACATGACGATACGAGTTTCCGAAAATTGATTGACGAGCTACGAGCCTCACATTAGCTTTTTTCGTTGACGAAGGTTGTACATTTTTTAATAATGAAGTACACCGATGAATTTGTTTTGGATAAGTGTCAGTTTGGTGTGTACACTATGTGTCACTATGCCCACCAACAAAAGCGCAGGTCTCGTATCGGAAATTAGTAGACCATTATGGTTTTCTGCGAATGTTCTCAGCTTTTCACCAATATTCAATATATATTTTCTCATCTATTGGAAGGAACCGGCAACCAAAAAAAACCGCCAAATAGTCGGTACGCCGCACAGAGTAAAAGACACAACATAAAAGACAATATTTTAGGCGGCGAAAAGTACTATTTTTAAAACTAAAGAATTATTGTTTTTTTTTTATCAATAATTTATGTTTTCAATATTCTGTTGCTAGATATAGAATTTCAAATTAACTAATAAATTTACTCGAATTATCGAGCTGTTTTAAAACTTTCACGCATTTTTATATTATTTAATTTTCTCACTTAAAACGATAAAATATATATTTTTTTTATACAATTATTATATTGTCATAAATAGTTAAATGTAATAATGACATATTATTTTTTGATTTAATTAATTTACGGGGAAAGTAACCAACCAACGAGAATATTTACATAATATAGGTACATTTTTGTTATTTTGTTGTTCTAGTCTATAATATATAAATAAATATAAAATACCCTTAGAAATATGACTGACCAGTGACCGTATTTGCTTAGAATCAGTTTTTGTAATCAATGATTAATCATTGAATTCAAATTTAACAAATCTATTAGAGTGACCTACCTACTCGATACCTAGTTGATGAGATGATAAGTACACCTATGACAAAATATGAAGGTATGTCAGTAACATATAAGTTTATATTATACAGCGTGATTCTTTTATCAAACAACACTCATTATTTCAAAAAGTGTAAATTTTTTTAAAAAAATATTTTTTTACATAGTTTCAAGTCGCTTATAAAACAACGTTTTTATTAAAAAATTATATTTTTAAATATTTTTTATCCTTATAATTTTTTAAGTTTTTTACTTTTTTGAATAACAACATAGGGTTTTAATTTTATATTCCAAAGCAGAATATTTTTCTTAGTATTTTGATACATGAAAATCGAATTTGGGTTGAGTAGTTTATGAGTTATAAGTATTTAAAGTTTAGACGAGCGGAGTGGAGTGGTTCGGGGTTACCCCGCGAAATGTTTGTCCACTTCACCGCTCGTCTAAGCTTTAAATACTTATAACTCATAAACTACTCAACCCAAATTCGATTTTCATGTATCAAAATACTAAGAAAAATATTCTACTTTAGAATATAAAATTAAAACCCTATGTTGTCATTCAAAAAAGTAAAAAACTTAAAAAATTTTAAGGATAAAAAATAATTAAAAATATAATTTTTTAATAAAAACGTTGTTTTATAAGCAACTTGAAACTATGTAAAAAAATATCTTCAAAAAAATTTACACTTTTTGAAATAATGAGTGTTGTTTGATAAAAGAATCACCCAGTGTATACTGGATTTTTCAAAAGAGTGTATAAATGTAATTTAGGTAAGTACCTAGGTGGGTAGGTATTTATTATTTTGTATGATTAATTAATATTAAATAGTAACCGTAAAAGTGGGGAAACAAATATGTGTATTAATTAATTATACGTCACACAATATATAAGTACAGATTACCGAGAGCAATTGCATATTATAGTAAAATTAATATTATCAAAACATTGTAAAATTAATAATAATAATAAAGTAAACGTTTCCAAAATATTGTCGAAAAAATTCAAAACATTATAAAAACTTTTTGGCCACATAATTAACGTTTACCGCCATAATCTTATATTGAAAAAAACAACATTATCTCAATTTAATTTCTTTAATATTTTATGTTAAACTTTATTATATTATTTTATATAATTATTAAAATATTAGGTATTTCGTATTTCGTATTTCGTAGAAATCAAACCAATAATTTTTGATAGATTACAGCAGTTTTAGAATGATATAATGTCAATAGATATTAAATAATACCTGATGTAATATGTACCTATTATATTATTATGTACGAATCAGATTTTCCATACATTGAATAGGTAGGTACCTCACCTATTTAAATATATTAAAATTATTATTTTTCTTGAAACCAACTACCCTTTTTTTCATTTCTGAAAAGGAAATAATCTCGGAAATTGTTCGAACACGGACGCGTTTTCGCGCCACCGTAGTTTCGGCATAAGTCCCTAAAACAAATATTAATAAAAAATGAATTTAAATTAAAAAATAATGGAAACTGTTATACGTTTGATGAAGATGGTAAACGGAAAAAAAGTCCCCGGACAAAAAGTCTTCCTTTGCGAGTTAACCTTTTTTAAATTAACAACTATATATTTTTCCAAATAGGTAGGTACTGCATAAAATTATGTAGGTACTACATAAAATGTTACTTAGGTATTTCAGATTATTTATTAAATTACATGTTCGTACCAAGGCTTATAAAAGTCTTTGTATTTAACAATTAATGCCTTTTTATAAACTGAACTTTTTTATAAATATCACCATGGCCACTAGATAAATGTAACAGAACACAAAATGGAATATAAATTGTTATTTGTGTTTGCTTTTTAAATAGGTACAAGTATACAACTATTAATTTACTTGATAAACTTGATAGTACAAAAGTACAACATAATTAAATAATTAAAACAAAAATACTATCCTATTGATTGTAGCCCAAGACAGATTGAATAAATTTTTTTTACATATTATATTAAAATAATTTAAAAGGAAATTTATATTCTATTTGGTTCGTTTTTTGTTTTATTATAAAGTGTTTTTTTTGTCTAATTTATTTTTATAGTTCGAGATGAATAGACAACCGGGTTATTATCATTCTGGAAATTTTTAAAATGTAGTTATTTTAGTATATAGGTACATTCAATCCGTAAGTGATAATCCATGATAAATATTTTTTTGTCGTGTTATAATCATTATATTACAATTTTCAGTACATAATAACATTTTTGTTTCATTGTGTTTTTTCCGTACCTAGGTATATATTATTAAGTTTTGATTGTAACAAATATTAAAAATGAAAATGTATAATATTGTTAGGTATGTTGTAAATTGAATATTGTTCTTTTACATAAAGCGTTTTATATTAAAATTAAGTAATGGATACCTAATTTATATTTGTTAATAAATAATTCATACATGTTATTATTATCAATATTATTTATTCTAAACCTGAAACTTAGAAATATTGACCACAGATTTTAGCTTTAAAGTTTAAATACACCATTAAGAAGTGCTTCTAAAAGTATATTACTTGATTATTTTAAAATTTAAAATGTTTCATTTTTAAGTTAAAATCGTTCAAATTATTTGTAGTAAATAAATGATTGGTCCTACAGTATATTTGGAAAGGTTTTGTAAATGTTGGTCCTCAGTTCCTCGCAATACTGTGTGAGGGTGCTTGATTTAAAAAAAAAAAATACTAATTCTGGTCATCTCCCTGAGATGGGCGTATTTTTTTAATTTTCCCCGGGTGTTAAAAAGCTATGATCCGGCCCTGGCTATAGTAGTAATGACAATTGACGTTTTAAAGTTCGTCTTTTTTCCACTGCGGCCACGAAACTGTCCATCGACGTGTTACGAATTCTGATTCTGTTAAATAACATTTTTCTTTTAAAAAATGTCTGTTATAATATTTTTAAATCTTATTTTAAAACCTTACATTTTTTAACTATTTTTATTTTAGTAGGTTATAGCCTATAGGAAACCCACTGAGATGAAAAATAAGCACATTATCATTGTATACATAATTTCTAAGATTCCTCTAAACTCGGAAGAGTGGAAAATTATCAAGAAAGATTGGCCAAGTACACCAGTCGTAGGAATGCGGCTTAATAATAAAAATATAGGCCTACCACAAATTAATACTGCAGACTGCAAGTAGGTATTCATTGTAATAACTATAACAGTATAACAAATAGGTAATACATTTAGTATTGAATAGGGAACATAATTTATTTATTTAAAACGGATTCTATTTGAATAATAATAACAATGATAATAATAGATCGTCAGGACTCGGGACCGTGCCTTGCTAGAAAGAATAATTCAATTTAAAAATATAGGCGTTGAGGTGAGCCTTGCATGGACAACATTCATTCTGCAATTTGGTCTCAATTGAGTCAGTCGACATCTCTGGACCTTTAGTTTGCCTGAACAGTGAACACTCAAAAGTCGTAAGTAAAATGTTGAAAAGTATTAAAACTATTTTATTAATACTCTAGTATAATATGATATATTTAATATTTTACGAATCTTTATACACCGATTAAATTTTTAAATAAATATAATGATTGTACCTATTCAATTTTTTAATACGTTTTAATATTTAAAAGAATACAATTTGACGAAATACATTTTTTAAAAATTAAAATATTTCTTTAGCATTCAATAATATTTTTTGTTGCTTCGAGATTTCTTCAATGTATTGAATAGGATATATGTATGTAGGACGTGTTGTATTTTAAATCTGTATTACATCAAATTACTTTACACAATTAAATTAAATCATTATTAATTTTGGTTTTTGAAATCGTTTAACATTGGTTGGTTCGATTAACAAGTATTGTTATTTCACATTGTATTGCTAATAATTTAATTTTTATATCAATAATATTATTACGAAACACAATTTGATTTATTATTATTGAT